CAAAACCTCGTTTTTTAAAAATTCTGTAACTTTTCCAATTTTAGGGCGAATCCAAAAATTCGAAAACATGTGTCTTCAGAATGACTTACTTGACTTATGAAAAATCTACATGCATAATTTTTTGAAAATTTAAAAATTCGAAAGAGTTTATAATTTTAATGAATTTCAAAAACTGGCAAAAAATTTTGAAAATCAAATTTCGAGACAATGGGATTTTTCATAAGTCAGGTAATTCATTCTGAAGAGACATGTTTTCGAATTTTTGGATTCGGGCTAAAATTCGAAAAGTTGCAGAATTTTTAAAAGCCGAGGTTTTGGCTGAAAAATGTTTTAAAATTCGCGCCCCGCGCTCAAATTAGCGCATTATGAAAAATGAAAAACTACGGGTATGCTTATTTTTTGTGGTGAACAAAATAAAATTGGTCCCAACCTGATCTGAGTTGTACACGTAAAAGACTTGCATTGTTAGTCAAATATGAGTGACAATTTTAGTTCAATTGAAAATTTAAAGAAATAATTTGTATTTTAGCTTTTATATGCTTATTCACATTTGTTACTCATTTTCAGCTCGTAACATAAATTATTAATTCCACATATTTAGTCTAATTTTCACAAATATTTCCAAACATTTCTAGTAGTTAAGCAAGCCTTAAAGCTCAACTTTTAAGCAAATGATTTGTTTTAAGGCTACCTCATATTGTTTGTTGGCGATTATACTTGAGAGTACAGATCTAAACTATTAAGAGTTGGTAATTCAGATGTTACCACTATTTAAATAATATTTAAAGAGTATTTAAATAACTAGTACTTAAATACTTAAGGTATATTCCGGTATTTAAGTAATTGAGTATTTAAATACCTTGTCAAAATACGAGTATTTAAGTATTTAGTATTTAAATATTTAAAATGAATTCAGTTATTTAAGTATTTAATACTTAAATACCACTCAAATATTCAAGTATTTAGAAATGAAGTATTTAAATACTTTTGAGGTATTTAAAACAACTCTGGATTAATACCGGGTTAGTAACCTAGGGTTACTACTTAAGAGTGCACGTATTTATTTCTGTATTGGCGAGTTTGGTTATACATTTTTTTTAATTCGTCACTTTTAATAGTAGACAATTAATTGTTTACTAAAATTGTAGTCAGAAACTAGTTTTTGCAAAACGTTGTGGCACTTTAACCACGAGAACTTCGAGTTTTATAAAAATGTTAAAATCACAATCTAGTGGATTGAATCCACCTCAAAATAATCTTGTCTAAAACTACCATTCCTCTTTCAAATAAAATCAAAAATTAACAAAACCAAAATGAATGTAAATTGAATTCACAAATTTTAGTAACCAGGATTCCAGATTTTGTAAAAAAAAAAAAAATTTGGGAGATAACTTCAAAAATCTTACTTACTTTTTTCATCATTTTTTGAGTGTAGACTTTAAGTTAGGATGAAAAATTCAGCAAATGCGACAAGTTTTATAGGGAGCTGGGCAAGAATGCTGCAAGCATGAAGGGGTAAACTAGTCGCAGTTGCCCCAGAAGCTATGGGGACATCCGAGGACATTAAAATTGCAAGATAGGGGAGGGTGTAGTTTATGTTGTAACGCTCCCTATTCTATTGTGGGATTGCGTGTCCAGATTCATACCCACTTTCGCGGATGCCCCTTTTCTTTGTGACGTTGTGCAATAAATTCGTAGTAGAAACTCACTTTTTTATAAGAATTATTAATAAATTTATTTACATCAATACCGACTGAAAAATATTGCCTTTACAGAAATGCTCGTATTATTAATACGTGGGAGAGCTAATGCTATATTTAATATTTTAACTAATTATCTAGACGGGAACTTATTATTAAGTTTTCGAAGATGTGAAACCTTGAACTTGATCTTGATGATCACTAAACTAAACCTGCTGATCCTGAACCTAAAACTACACTCTTCTTTTCCTTTTCTCTGCTTACTCTATATATACGTGATCACATAAGCCACGACTTCTTAATCACTACCTTTACTTACGCTACATATGCACAAACCACGCCTTCATGATCATGATGACGTAGGTATCATTCTGTGCTCCTCATTCCTATCTTCTCTTCCCCATCATGATCTCCTCCTCCACACAATATGGTTTAGACACACATGAGAGGCGAGATACTTATGAAACCTAAATCTATGTATTTTGAATCCCTTGACCTTTGAAATGCTGATGTCACATTTGCATCAGCGTTCCAAAGGTTGCAATGTATGTAAGATGCATATGTGGGCAGATGATGTGGGCAGATGATGTGTCTCCACACTTCTGCGGCCACTGACTAGTCTAATTAATTGTTATGAAACATGAACTTTGACAAGTTTCAAGTACCAGAATGCAGGTAAAACCTACTTAAAAGTGGTGGTTTTTATTCAACCAGTTTTTTTATCACAAGATGTTAGATAAATCTATCCAAATTTTATGCAGGTGTCCAATTGTGCTGAATTTTAGAGACAAGAAAATAACGGTAAGGAGCAGTACATATTTGTACCTCAACATCATTGCAACAGGTTGACATAATTTCGGTTCGAGTGCAGTTTGTTCGCTCCTTGCACATTCACTAAAAGTACGGTGCAAAACAATTGGGACAATCGATGCAAAACGCACCAAAACTACAGGATAACTGGCAGGAGCAATTGAGATTTCTGAACACCGCGTTTTCAGATCCCATGGATAATAGTCGAATATTTTCCACTATTGGTACCGAAGTTTGTGTACACCTTCTTCGGCTTATTCTGCACCTTTGATGCAAAATGAAACTACAGTCAAAAAAATTTGTATGCAAGATATGTAAATGTATGTGCATAGGTATGTATATTTGACTTCAGAAATTGTGTGTTACACCAAAACCAAAACTAGAAATTACAACCGTGCCCACCTTCTTATGGCTTACTTAAGCTCGTTGAAATTAGGTGTACAAAGTTATTGAAAATATATAAATATGTATGCACATACGTAGATAATAATAATGAGGATTTATTTGTTCACGCAAAATCAGTCCATTACATTTTTAGCAAAATAAGATCAAACCCCATCAAGTGGGAAATACTTGACCTTATACATTTCTACAACATATCATGCTTTATAGTTCATAGATACATGCACATTAAAACAATTATTTCATTTATGATTACTATGTATGTATAGGCTGCATAATTCTGTACCTTTTTGACATATGATAAAAACCAGGCCAAATGTAACACAAAATCATTTCCCACATTTCGCAGGAGAAGGTGAGACAGAGTGAGAAAAGTGGTTGGCGGTGGGTATCCACCACCATCGTGCGTTAGGATCGTATGCGCGATCCATTTTCTCACTCTGTTTCTCTCTCTCAGCACTCATTAGTGGCCAGAGTTTGTTACGGCTCTTGTTGTATAAGCCACTCCCACAGAAACTTTGACCCCAAAAATCTCGTGGTCCGACGCATTTTCAGTGGGGCAACAAAAGCTGAAAATATAGCTCTTCTAATGGAGAAAATTCTGGCATCAGGTTGTCAGACTCAAAATGGGTAGGACCATGACTTTTTGAAGGATTTATGTGTAGGTCAAAAAACCGCCAATTTTCGAATTTTTAAACTTTTGATGCATCAAAATGTCCGTATGCATGGGGACATTAGAATTGCAAATGCAAGTTGGGGTCTAATTCTTGCTGTCCCGAGTGTACATTGGATTTCTCATTTTTCTCAGTTTCTTTTCTCAATTTTTAAAAGGGGGGTGGTTGAATATAATTCAAAAATAACTATGGTAAATTGACGGTTGTACCCGGAACTCTACTTGCAAATTTTTATATTTAATTCGAAGAAATCGATGCAACGTAGAATGGAACATTTCCCATAATACGTCTCATATGTTAACATTGTTTTTTTCCTCTCGATTGAAAATTAGCTGCGATGTTTTCGTAATAAACTCTTGAATTGATCTTGGTCGAGTAGATGAACATTCCAAAATTTAAAAAAATGGTAATCCTTGTCATACATATTTACATACATGCATATATTCAGTACATACATATATTTATGTATGTACAAGAATCCGAGAATTTAGCTCGTTTGAATTTTCGGTAATAAACTCATGCCTGTACTAAAATGAGGTTAATTCGCTTCTGCCTCCTCTTACTCTAAATGTCTACAATTATATAGTGTTAAACTTTTTTTTATGCCAATGAGCTTTTATTAGCAAAAATATTTTCCGAAGTTATATTTTTCGTACATACCGTGATAAACTAAAACTATCTAAAAAATAGTCACAGCATGAACAAGGATTGGCATATTTCGATTTCATGGTCATGCATCATACATATAAACATGCAAAAGGGTGTCGTAGTGACGGAAAATAGAGATTTCTGGTGTTTTAAAATTAAATGCCTAAAACGCTGTCCCAGGGCGGTGTCTCTTCTTCGGAGGAGGACTTTACATTTATGCCATCAGGGTAGGGATTAAGCAACGCCTCAACTCCCTCTGCTTAATGACCACATGTTTTTTTCTATTTTTTTACATGATATAATAGTCTACAAACTAAAATGTTAAACTATAATGTTAAACTCTGTTTCACAATGGGTAATTTCATCGCCACACAAAAGGAGCATGGTATTTTTATGATCATGAAATCATAAAAATTATCTGTGCAAATTTATGGCATTCTTAAACAAATAGCAATGATCTGGCTACCAGTGCCGACGTGGATTTTTCAGCAGATTGTTTTACAATTTGACCAATGCTAACTTGCGATAAAATCTGGCCCTCTTATCTCGGACGTTTACTCTACACTACGAATTGTCGAAATCATATGATTAACACGTCATGTCATTTTCGTATGTCATTTCCATACTAAATATTTGCAGTTATGCCGAGGTGGATTCCAGGCTTCAAGTGATACAATGGATGTGTACTGATAAGCATTTGAGAACCTTATCAAATAACGATGATTCTCAAATTGCAGAACAAAATCTGCCATTTGATAATAAGACTTCGTCATTGTGCCAGCATTGATAATTATTCTTACTCCGTCAGAAATATAAACAAATCCCACTTATAGAATGTCATTAGTCCGTATACCCAAGATGGAAGATTTCCATACTACGGAGGACATTGTTCGGATATTGATGGAGGAAGACAGAAAAAGTGATATTTTTAATGGGTACCACACATATGAATTGGCAGACGCCCTGAAAGTTCCACGCCACTTAATCAATGAAAAGTATAAGTTATCAAAGAACCGTATACCCGAAGATGCTTTACGCTATATCCTAACTCATTGGGCAGCCCGAGAAGGAGAAAAGGCAACTTATAGTTCCCTACGAGATCATCTGACACGTTTCGCAGTTAATAAAGGTTCGAAAAACGACTTAAATATGTATCACATATTTGGAACTCAATATTATTTAACGCTTTACAACTCTAAAAGGGATAAGCGTAACCTTCAAAGTTATAGGCATGCAGTCGTGTTAAGCTAGTTTAAACAATTTAACCAGGACAGGTTAACTAGTCGTTTAGTACGCTTTCGCACTTAAGCTCATTTCTAATTTATCTGGCTCGTTCGTTGATTATCGTTTCGAGCTGAGCCAGGCGCAACCTGCGTCAATTTTAAAACGTGGGGGATATCCTGCGTATCTGTACAACTTCAATGTGTCGGCCACAGTTTACTTTAGGATTTTATGATAAAATGTACGTGCCTAAAGATATAATACGTATATGCCTCATAATGTATGAGTATTATATATTTATACATATATACTAGGTAGGTATTGCACAAGTCTTATTATAAATTTATCCGGTAAAGTATACTGGAATATTAAAGATAATGGTCTCGCAAGGTAAAATGTCATAATTTTTTATGGAAATCTGAAAATTAATTCATATTTATTCATTAGAAGAATTTAGCTTACGGATTGAAAGACTCGAAACGAAAGAATGGGATAAGAGCTCTGAATTATCTCGACGCACTCTTTCTCCTCACGACACAGAAATGGACACAGACACGCAAAATATTATTAAGTAATAAGTTATTTTTACAAGATGGATTGGCCAGAGGGATTTATCATCATTAATTTTGTCAATTTAGTGCTGATGATATAAGAAGTCCACGTCTCCGACTATATGCCCTCGCCAGCGTCCGTGTGGTCGCTCTTGCAGCCGCTGTCGGCGTCGTCTGTACTATTTTTCACCCTGGAGTTATTTTAGAGCTCAGCGCAATGCTAGGCACTATTGTAATTTTAACCACCGCCTTTATCAGGTATAATTTTTGATGCGCCGGCGCAGAATACAGTTTGGCCCCAAACCAATACTCGAGAAAGTTGAACACTTACCTAGATTGTTGGCTGCTTACCGTAAAACCTCTATTTATAGCCCTCTTCTAATTATAGCCGGTCTCCAAATATAGCCGGGTCTAGAGACCAAGATTTTAAAAATTTTAGCCGGGTCCCCAATCATGGCCGGGTCTCTACTTATGACCTGTCTTGTCCACTATGTCCCTGTTCATAGTACATTAAAGAAAAGTGTTGCACATTATGCCAATCAACGAATAAGTTGAACTACTAATTTTTTCCTATTAATTTCAGGTTAATAATGAATATAATCATGACAGAAAATTTAAAAAACCTGCTAAACTTCGTTTCAAGATGTAAATTAAAAGTGAATGGGGGCCGTCCATAAATTACGTAACGCAAAAATCGCGATTTTCTAGACCCCCCCCTCCCCCCCTCTTGCGTTACGTAATTTATGGACGGCCCCATGGTTTACTTATGGCTAATCTTGCTAAATTAGGAAACTCAAATTGAGTCAACATGAATTATATTTGATTTTGTAACATCTAAAATTTTTGGAGCAATAAATTTAGCCGGGTCTCTAATTATAGCCGGTCTCTAATTTTAGCCGGGTCCGTGACCCTCAGTTTTGGATTTTAGTCCCGGCTATAAATAGAGGTTCTACGGTATACCTATATAGATGGCTGCAAATGCTACAATTTTAAAATATTTTTAACCCCAAACCAGACTTCCTACTTATTTTTCTGGTCTCCAATGAAACACTAACAATCCGTGGGTAGTAAGAAATTTTCTCCCATTTTAAACCGAAGATTTGTCAAATGCTATATTAGAAATATGTAGATAATGTTTTGGCGATAGTCTGATTGTAGAGGTTAGATGGGCGCCCGAGTGGCAATGAAGGTCTCCCAACGTATGCTCACAGCTTTGGTCCAAACTAGCGTCAATTGATCACAAATATAATTAGTATGAAATTTGCAGATGGCACCATCTGCCAATGCGCAGGTTTCTCGGAGATATTTGTATAGAATTAGGAGAGAACGTACCCCCAAGGCTGGAAAATTGTTCATTTTCCAAATTTCCTGCACATTTTTTCTGCTTTGATTGCAAATATCTCCGCCAAACATGCGCCTTGGCGGATAGTTCCATTTGCAATTTCACACAAATTATATTTGTGATATATTGACGCCAGTTTGGCCCAAATCTGTGAGCATACGTTGCAAGACCTTGATTGTGAATCGTGTTCATCGAAGTCAGGCTAAACCAAAATTCAGTTCGAGTAGGGCATGGGCGGATTGGGTTTTAAAGAATTTTGGCCCATCTCACCTCTGCCCGACAGCTCACGAAGGAGGTATCTGGCATTTAAACGCACAACTATTTGTCATCAAACCGCAGAATATTTGCCCCAAAATAATTCTTAAAAAAAATTTTAACCGAAACATTTTTGCTAGCTAACGAAGTAATAGTTGATTTAATATTCCAAAAAACTTAATTGAAAATTCGGAAGCATTAAAAATAGATGAACAATTTAAGATATTAAGGCAATGAAAACTACTCGTGTCAAACTCGTATTTACTTCCATATTTCCTGCTACACTCCGCGACAAAAGCTAAAGGCACCCTGCGTGATGATCATATCCCTTGACCCCATGAACCACGGTCGACGAATTATATTTTATTTAATAGCTAACTAATGTAAACAATTAAATAATACTTAAAATCTACCAGTTTAATTCGTACAAGGGGAAAATGAGACAAATTTCAAAAATCGGAAAATTCATGCGCGTCAATAGGTTAAAGGCACTTCGTAAAAAGAACCCAAATTACATTTTAAAAAATAATTTAGTAATGATCCATTTCACCACGATTGGTGATGACTTCAAACGCCTATTTGGAAAAGATTTAAACCTCTTGGTTATCTCAGATTGAGATATTTTTCGCTATACGTTGCCAATAGCTTACTTTTGGTCATTTACGGTGTTAAACTGCTTACTATTTCTATGTTAATGCTCCCTGAAGATTCTCTAGGATGCATACGTAAGGTGACTTTACAGGGTAATCCAAAATCCTTATCTTTGTCGCAGAAAATAAATCTTTGCTTGGCTCGTTGTGTGGATGCTTGCGTTTTCTTGTTCAAAAATTCACACTTGATCACCCAAATGCTTTCCTTCATCAAAATTTGTGTTTTCCAACATTTCTTATAAGTGTTCAAATTCATTTCTGTGATGTAGAAAACTGTGTCATTTTTTTCTCGGATCCAATAGCCACCTATACCATAATGCTGCCTAATCACATTTGACGTTTTGAGAGCATCGACTTCGTGTATGTCAAGATCATGCCAGTAGCTGGGTAATGCATATGGACCAGGTCAATTGAACTTATTTGTATCAATAAGAATAATTTTATCTAATTCTTATACAGGAACATGTATTCCTTAGGGATTTTTGGTCTTGCAAATTTGTGACGTTTCATCAACTATGCATGTCGCCGATTTTCTTGTCTGCTAGGTACGAGGAACTTTCCAAAACACGTTTAGCGGTTCGAAGATGTCTAGTGACAACTGCAGTAGTCGAAATGTCCCTCGCAAAAAATAGTTTGGTGATCCAGTGTGGATTTTTGAACAAGAAAACGCTAGCATCTACACATCGAGCTAAGGAAAGATTTATTTTCTGCGACAAAGATAAGGATTTTGGATTACCCTGTAAAGTCACCTTACGTATGCATCCTAGAGAATCTCCAGGGAGCATTAACATAGAAATAGTAAGCAGTTTAACATTGTAAATGACCAAAAGTAAGCTATTGGCAAGGTATAGCGAAAAATAGCTCAATCTGAGATAACCAAGCGGTTTAAATCTTTTCCAAATAGGCGTTTGAAGTCATCACCAATCATGGTGAAATGGATCATTACTAAATTATTTATAAAAATGTAATTCGGGTGCTTTTTACGAAGTGCCTTTAACCTTTTGACGCGCATGAATTTTCCGATTTTTGAAATTTGTCTCATTTTCCCCTGGTACTAATTAAATTGGTAGATGTTAAATATTATTTAATTGTTTACATTAGTTAGCTATTAAATAAAATATAATTCCTCGACAGTGGTTCATGGGGTCAAGGGATATGATCATGACGCAGGGTGCCTTTAACCTTTTGTCGCGGAGTGTATACACTGCGGCATTTCTTTTAAGACTAAATATTTGCATTTCTGCCGAATTGAGTTGCAGGCTTCAAGTGACAAGATGTCTAATGATTTATTTGAGAACCTTATCCAACAACGATGATTCTCAAATTACTTAAAACTTTCTGTCATTCCCAATTCGCAATCACCAGATGTCTCCATTTTAACATTTGTGACCGCTCCATCAGAATAAAGAATTTCGTTCCTACAATAGGACGTTACGACGCCCTACACACAAAATGGATGGTCCTTCTACAGCGGAGGACATTGTTCGGATATTGATGGAGGAAGACAGAAAAAGTGATATTTTTAATGGGTACCACACATATGAATTGGCAGACGCCCTGAAAGTTCCACGCCACTTAATCAATGATAAGTATACGTTATCAAAGAACCGTATACCCGTAGATGCTTTACGCGATATCCTAATTCATTGGGTAGCCCGAGAAGGAGAAAGGGCAAATTATGGTTCCCTACGAAATCATCTGACACGTTTCGCAGCTACTAAAGGTTCGTACAACGACTAAAATATTTATCAGCATATTTGGAAATAGTACACAACTATCCAAGTCATACCCTTAAGAAGCAAATATTATTTAACGCTTTATCATTCCAAAACGGAGAAGCGCAACCTTCATACTTACAAGGGAACATACCGCAACGAGTTGAAGGTCGACACCTATACCAAAATGACCACAGTACATGACTTGTTAAATGAACTGAAGGAATTTCCGTGTAAAATTCACTTTTCGTAACGTTGTGACGATATTTGTGACGAGCGCATGACCATCGGGTTGCAAGAGAGGGAGAGGTCGGCCGCTGAACGATCAAATCGAACACATTTTGTCTTCAGAGATTTCAAATTTCAAATAACTTACACACCTCTAATTTTTTCAAAATTTCATAATTGTTCCAAAATTTCAAAATTTCTTCAAAATTGCTAAACCTTTTCAAAATTTCAAAATTTTTTCGAAGTTTCAAAATTTTTTGAAAATTTGAAAATTTCAAAAAGTTCTTCAAAATTCCATACCTGTGCAAGTGAATTTGCCTTTACTCAACTTCACTCATTTTCACCTCGAGCCAAGTTGGCCTTCACTCCCCTCACTGGCGTGAAGGAAGGCTGAGTGAGCTTCACTCACTGACAAATCTGATTCTCACTCCTTCATTCCCTTCAAAAAATTCACAATTTGTAAAACTGTTGAAAAAAACAATTTATACTAAGCCGTGTACACGAGGTACTAAATGTTTAATTATAAATCTAGTTGACTACTGAGCAAATTTCTAGCGGTCTCCTAAGTCCAATTGTTGCTTTAAATTTATTTATTGATAAAAATCTGAAACTCAGTAAACATTTATTAATTATTAGAGATCGACGTACACCACTCACTGGAAGCTGAAAGATCGGAATTGGTTAGGATTCCAATCTTGCCGAGAGAGAAAGACGAACGCTTCAAAAGAATGTCCATTCCATTTGGTTTGCATACCAACATGCAAATGATCGAAGAAACCTGGCGCGAAATAATCACATGGAAACAAGTTTGTGAGCTACTTTCTCAATTTAAATATGTGTATACTTTTTTAGTTTTTCTGATGCTTAAATATTTGAATTGGGTTCATTATCTTTCGAATAAATCATTTTGATGATCTAGTAAAGTAGGCTAGAAATGGGTCTAATTTAAGTACTCTAAAATCAATCTTATTAGAATCGACTAACGCATTTTTTAAATTTCCTTTCAATATTGCTCGCGATTTTTAGTTTAAATTAAAACTCAAAGACTAACGGAAACTACTGGACTGTATTTTTTTTACTAATATGTCTATAAAACATGTGTCCATGTGTCTTGTAAAATATTCCTTTGGAGTTTAGTATTGACTAATTTTATACAGTCGGACTTGGGCGTGCATTCTGGAAAATCAATGAAAAACTAATCATCTCTGAAGAAATTCTAGCAATAATGCCAACGACCGTCGTAATATTTTTTTCGCCTCCACGGACCACCACCTCAACAGAAGAGGATTATCGAACTTTGGAGAATGCATCGTTGTCAGAGATTCAAAATTCTATCAGACAATCCTTTCCCCACTTAATTACAACCAAACTGGACATTTTGCGTCAGCTAATTGTTTACGACATGGACTTCGACATCCTGAAACTACTCGCTGATTCCACAGTAACGTGTAACTTCGTGGTGGACAATCCACAGCAAATTGCGAAAGGATCCATCCACACAAATACAGATTATGGGTGTAAACTTGATCTAAAAACATCATCCTCTAACACGGATGAATATTTTCAACGATTTGCGCAACTACATTCTAAAGCTAGATTTGGTACAAGTTGGTACAATGTGGTAAAAAATTGGTTACAAGGAGCTCTTGGATTAGCTCAAGAAAATAGACGAACGATTAAAGTCGCAATGTTAGATACCGGCGTTGGATTAGACGACTTACCAAATAAACGTTGCTTCACACTCATGAGGAACGCTATGGTTGCTAGTCCTGCTTTAGTCAAATGCTCGGACGATTCGACTAATAGTCATGGTACAAAAGTGGGCTATGTTTTATCCCGTAGTTGCCACCCTTCAACAGAAATTTTACCAATTAAAGTACTGGACAGTAACACTGGGGGAAACTATGACGCTATAGCTCTTGGATTACAGTATGCAAGAAAGGATAAAGCGGACATTGTAAATTGTAGTTTCAACCGGATGTATGGAGACGGGTATATGGTAAAATTATTTAATTTTGATTCGCTATACAAGGCTCTAAAGTTCTAACTTTTACCTAACAGATGTGAGCAAGTTGTGTCGGAAAATGCCTTCTTAGAGGAATTCAAAATTTCAAACGTGCTACCTATAGTTTCTGCAGGGAATGGGGATAATTCCTCAGCTCTGCTCCCCCCTGCGGATCTGAATTGCGTGATATCTGTTGGTTCAGTGACTTGGGAAGGTTCTTGGAGCCAATCGAGCTGTGGGAAATGTCTCGCTAGTATTGCGACATTTGGAGAATATCTTGCCATAAGACGCAATGATAGTGTAAGAGCTAATGGTCATAAGTATGCTACTCGGAGATATGACTTTAGTATTTAAATTTACTAATAATATTAAGCAAATTAGCCGCGTGATCTAGGCTCGGTTGAAATATTTATTTTCAGTATCATTTTTATCCTTGTGATAGTATTTTGCTAATATTAAGGTATCGTTTGAGGAAGGAACTTCACTGGCGGCCCCTGCCGTGTCAGGATTGCTCACGCATCTAATTTCGATTAACCCAACGGTGAAAGATGTCGAAACTACTAAGAAGATATTGATAGGAACAGCTGATCCTGTCAAAGGATGCGATCAGGGACATTCTCCTTGCAAGAAGCATCTTAATGTTAGCCGGGCATATCAAGGTATATATTCCTCCTGCGATTATTAAAATGATCTACCATTTACGTATGAATAGTCTAATCTGTCAGGATGATAATATATACGGATTTAATTAGCAAATGGTACTTTCGTTACCCCAAGGTGACAATTTAGTATAAGTTTAGCAGAAGGATTAAATGTATATGCACCTACATAATATTAAAGTATTATTCATAGTGCAGTATTTATGTATACAGTTGTACAACAATTTTAAGATATGCTCTAAATGTGTTTCAGCTGCTAAGAACCTCTCATCGGGAATAAGTGTTCCACCACCAGCCGATGCTCACATATTAGTCGACTTAAGAGCAGTACTTCAAGATTTACACAACGCTTAGTATTTTCATTCGTCCAATTTGAAGTCTACCCAAATTTTAACAACATCCTAATCCTAAAATATTTGTAATATAGTTTTTCCACAGTTGTAGAAGGAGACGTACATACACTTACATTATATATTGATATAACCCTGATCAGATAAGACCGGGCATCGTGGAACTACAAAGAATTCAACCCACAAATAATTGAAGCTTCAAATTTTTTGTTGCTAGTCTTAACCATGGGCAACATTAGTGTATGTAACATAAGCCCAATAAGGAATCATGTATACCCTCAGTGATTCACAATTGTTACTTGCTCATGGCAACCCAAACAAAAAATACAAGAATAAACAAGTTATTGGAGTTATATTAATTAATTTATTAATCCCAGTTTTTTTAATTCATGTGAACGTTCCAAAAACTCGAAATCTTGTAACCTATTTTAAATTCTAATAATAACTTTTCTGAATAACCAAATACCTTTAACAATTCAGATAGCGTGGAATCTTCAAAATTGTACCTAAATCGTGGAAATGCATCTTAAGTATGTATGTACATATGTACATATATCTGAATATTGTTCGATTTTTATAAGTATATACATATCATGTGGGGTGTTTTAGTTAGCATGCATACATAGGTAAATACATGTTTTCGTTTATTTGTCTCGCCAAGTGAGTGTTCATTTGTGTTTTTTTAATACAATGAATATGATATTACCAAGATATGGGCATGAAAGACAAAATTGGAAAAACTCAATTACAGTACTAAATAGCGTTATAAAATAATACATGTTTACATCGCATATTGGAGTAATTACACCACCATTTCCTATTGCGGAGAGGTTTAAGCCTGAAGGTGACCAAGATGTTCATGTGAATATAAGCATAATCGTAAATATAAACCAGCCATTTCCAATTTATATGATTATAAAATAAAATATGTATACAACCCATAGAAAAGCTACCATTACTCCTAAAAAAATCCAGAAGAATAAGTACAATTCCGATATCGAACTGTTGTATGGCGTAGAATAATTCCTCTAACAAAAATGGAAACCTTACAGTTTTTGTTGCTAGCCTTAACCATCATAATTCTTAGTTTTGCAAGTACAAGAGGACAAAGGTGGGTAAATAGTTACTCATTGCGTGGATTTGAATCTTGTACAAAGCACATCATGGAAACCGAATTGACAAGAATGACCTTCGAGTTTGCTGGGGACGTTGTCTACTACAACAATTTAGAAGCATCAATGGACAACGCGGATCCACAGAGATGGACTATATTTCGTGGTAGAAACATGACAAAAGTTTACTATGAGTTACATCAACCAGAACATCTTATGCTAGAAAGATCCTGCTCAGTACTCCTGTTCACGACCGGTCCTCACTTTAAGGAGTTCCTTTCCCTAAACGTACTTGGTAACCAGCGGCGCCAACTTAGCTATATTGTGCTGGTAAAAAGACCTCCCACATTTTGGCAGATGCTTGAGCAAGTGCAGCTATATGTGTGGATTTCCTATATTGCCTTCGATACTTACGGAATCCCTTATTTAGGTGCTTATCATAAAGGAAAGTTTTGCCCGTTATGTGGCAAATTATGGATTGCAATCCGTTCCGAGTTAAGTTGGCTAGTGTATGAGGATACTAAAAGATTTTGGAATTGTAGAAGCAAAACAATTGGCTTAGTGTTCGCTCATAATTCAATTGATCTCCAGCACGATTACTCAAATTGTCCAGCAAGACCATAGGCCCAATTGAAGGAAAATAGGACAATGTACAGTTTACCACGATGCAGGTCGGAAATGTCGCTTTATCAACATGCCTTGGAAGCACTTAACTGTTCACTTATCCCCAAATATTGTGCCAAAAGCCAAACAAAGTGCTCAAATGAAGATCATGATGTTGGTGAAATTGTATTTTTTGTACAATACTATCAAAGATTTGGGTATGCCGTCTCCTTCAAAGGAATGATTTCCCACGTAGTGTTTTATTGTCATGATAAATACCGTAAGCGAGCAGTCGGAATGAACTTTGGTGCGTGGATTTCATCATTTGACGGATTTATTTGGATTGGTCTATTTTTCACTTTTATACTAACATCAGGTTTTGCCAATTTAATAAACTTCAGGCACAAGACTACTATGAAACAAAGACTTAGGTTATGGTGTCAGTGTATATTCGAAGTTACGAAATTGCTCATGCGACAGCCCACTAACTTAAAAAGCTCACACATTGTTGGGCCATTGTTACTAACTTTTTTATTCATGTTAAGCCTGTACGAAAACTCGGTAACCAGCGATGTTATAGCTCCAATTATATTTACGCCGATAGTGGGCTTAAGAGAGTTTTTAAACAGTAAACACACACTGGTTTTTGCAGATCACAGTACGTTTAACCAGTTGGCCATAGTTGAAGAATTCAGAGGCTAAGCTAGCCAGGCCCGGCCCTGGGCATAACAAATTACTGTCGGAGCTCCACGCCGCCGATTTTCGCAGGTGCGCCAAAGACGCCGACCCGATTTTTGGTGCGGCCACCACCGGGAAAAATTGTTGGCGCGGCCCCGGCGCAAATTTCTCGGAACGCTGCCGGGGAAAATTTATTTCATATAAACGATGCGGATTGGGTTTGTACCCTCGATTTCGACGGTTTGCATGAATCTAACTTTCGAGGCAAAGTTGAAGTAAAATATATCATTAAATATTTTTTTAAAGCAACACCATCTAGATCAGATCAAATGGTAATAGATAATTTTACTACACAGAACAACGATTTCGTTTCGTTTAAAAATTATCCTCTCATGAGATGAAACTATGCGTTCGTGCTTAAATTGTGCCGAGACGAATTTCGCAGCAAATGTCAAAAATGCTAAAATTTGAAGTTTGACGGTTTATGTGTTTATTTGTGGTTGAGACCAAGAATATTTTTCGCTAAAACAATTTTGCTGTATACTAGCGCTGACATACCTGTGCAAGTGAATTTGCCTTCACTCAACTTCACTCATTTTCACCTCGAGCCAAGTTGCCCTTCACTCCCCTCACTCGCTTGAAGGAAGGCTGAGTGAAGCTTCACTCACTGACAAATCCCATTCTCACTCCCTCATTCCCCTCACTCATCTATTTTCCTCACTCTTTCTTTCATTCAATTAAGTGCCTTGTGTCGTCATGGTTTAAATATTTTGGCGCAATTTAGTGGGGCAATGTGAGACTAGGCTGGGGTAATGTGAGACTGGGCCGGGGCAATGTGAGACTGTGCTGGGGCAATGTGAGACTTGGCTTGGGTAATGTAACACGAGGCTGGGGCAACGCGAGAATTTCCTGGGGTGAAATGAGACTCACTATTTTCATATGGCCACGGTGATTTCAGTATGTAACCTAATTATCTACCCTATATTCCTTCACCCTTCTTCCCCGGAGACGAAGGAGTGAAAGAGATGAAGCCTTCATCTCCTTCACTCCTTCACCCTTCATTCCACTCACTTTTTGTCTCAGCCTCCCTCACTCACCTTCGCTCATTCGATCAAATTTTTCAACTCCCTCACTCAGCTTCACTCCGTCATCGTGAATGAAGCCTCAATTTACCTAAATTGAGTGAAGCTGCACAGGTATGAGCGCTGAGTATACCGTCGCGAACTAAAAATGTAGGGGTTGCATTCCTCACAGAGTTTAATCGGAACGATTTTATATTACATTATTTTATATCAGTTTCGTACACACCTCAAATTGCATACCTGATAGTCGAAAGATACGTTGCACTTTGTTTGGAAATTGTAAATTAGGCTAATCCTAGGTGTTAGGATCAGAGGTCAACGCCGCCGATTATACGTCGCGCCGCCAGACGCCGAACCGTTTTGACGCGCCGCCGCCGCGAAAATCTGGTCGGCGCGCCGGCGCCAATATTCGGCCGCCGATTGACATTTAAATCTGATGAATTTTTTAATTTAGTGTATTTTTTAATATTTTTTTTTAATTTTGAAAATTTATATTTAAAAAATTTTTTTTATTGAAATTTACCAGATCACATTTACGATGCCATCAAATTCAAGTTGACTACTTGATGTTCCAGGCAAGAAATAGGGACAAAGAGTTATTACGTAGTTTAAACACCTAAAATAGGGATGCATCATGAATTATGTAAGAAATGTTACAACCAACTGCGTGAAACGAAAAATCCGTGATCTTTGACACAGTTTTAATGAGCACCTCAAATGGTCAAAATTTGACCGTCAAATATAACATGTTCAATTTTTCTCAAAAACTTGTCTAGTGCTTGAAGAAACAGTTAATGAAAACATACATCCCACAAGAAATATTGCAAAGTTTAGATTATTAGCAATGCTAATTTGGCGTTTTTCATATCCTTCCTATTTAGTGTATATACGTTTAGTAATTTATGTTGGCGCCGCCGAAGATATTTAATCACCGCGCCGCGGCGCGCCGCCGCCGCCGCGTAAACCGTCGGCGTTGACCTCTGTTTGGGATTTTTCTAACCCCAGAAACATGTAAAAACACAAAACCATTTTGAAAGTGCACATCTGAAAAATTTAGCCTGGAAATTTCAATTTAGCATGAAAAATAGAACTCTGTAATTTATGAAGTTGCGCCAACATTCGAAAATCGGGATGGTTTTGGTGGAGAAATCTTTTTAAAATTCTGTCACGCAGCAAAATTCTCCCATTGTCACCAGTTAAAAAATATGGGGCTGCTTTTTGTGGTCATTGAACAAATTAAAAATGATCCGTTCAATATTTGAGTAACAGCTTGATACATATTTCATATCGCAAAGTTAAATAAATAAAAATTTTTGTTACAATTATTGACTGAGAATTAAGGGTAAGAATATCGGCTGCGGCCGATATTTCACCGACGTGAAGCTCTGATTCCGATTCATCTACGGGTACTGTAAATACATGTACTTTAACAAGCATCAAGAATAATAAATAAACAAGACAATTGTTAAGTAAGCAAGAATGCCAAAATTGTGAAGTGGGCTGTTTCCCGAAATCTTCGTTGTTCGTGGAACTTGTAGCCTAACAGGAATTCGGAAAAACTGGACGTGGCTAAACTAATAAAAGAAATTATAATTTTTTTGTAATTATAACGCAAATTGTTAAATAAGCCCGAATGGCCCGGCCCCTTCGGGGCCCGGCCCTGGGGACAGTACCCATCCCGCAGCTACTCACTTAGGTTCTGGAAGAATTTTCGGAGCGAAATATTACGCCACATTACAACGTGAGCGATGTAGTAAAATTTGAAAAGCCACCGCTCAACGAACATTCGCAAGCGTCGACATATTTCAGGAAACGTTACGCCAACAAAGAAGGAATCATCGCTACTGAAACCGCACCAATATTCTCCGCCGCAAAAGCTTATCAACCA